AGCCAGGGTGGCTCCCCTCCGAACCAGAGGGTAAAGAGCCACCCTCTGAGCCTGAGTGGGCGGGGCCAGGCCAAGCTTCCACCAATCCCCGGAAGGAGATAGGTGGGACAGGAAGTACAAAGGGCGGGGCCCTCTGCCCAGTGAGGAGAGCACCTGGGAGGCAGACAGACACAGGCTGCTCCCTCGCAATCCTGCTGCTGACCCAGGCGAAGCCCTGGGCAAGGAGGAGCCTGACCAGGGGGAAGGCCTGTGGCAACCTGGGCTGCCGGCCGCTGAATACCCAGAGGACCTGGAGGGGCCTGACGGCAGCCCAGGCCAGCGTGAGTCCGATACCGAGGGGGAGCGGGGGTGGCCCGCAGCGGAATACCAGGAGGAGATGGAGGGACCGGAGCGACCCGCCTGAGAGAGACCGGGTAGGAAGTAGCCCAGGGGCCCAACTACACCGTGGGGTGGGTGTGTTTGGTCAGCGGGTGTGGATTGCCCCGCTGACCCAGCGGCGGGACCTTCGCCTCCCACCACTGTCAGGGCCCTGGGCTGGAACGCAGTGGAGTTGGGTGGGCCTGTGTTCCCCTACCCCGGCGCTCCCCCTGCCGGAGGGGCGCGCTACGGACTCTTGCCGGCGCTCCCCCTGCCTGAGGGGCGCGCTACGGACTCTTGCCAGCGCTCCCCCTGCCTGAGGGGCGCGCTACGGACTCTTGCCAGCGCTCCCCCTGCCTGAGGGGCGCGCTACGGACTCTGGCCGGCACACCTTCCCGCTAATTCCCCAATGCCTGGGAGGTGGGGCCAAGGCCTGCCACGGAGACCATTGCTCTCCATCGCCCCTAGGGGCTCGGAGGACCGACCGACGCCTGTCACAAGGATATAATCTGAGCAGGCCTGTCTGAACCTACGCTGAACGACCATTCATGCGACCAGGCATCTGGCTTACCAAAATCCCAGTTTTCCAATTAGGTCCATGTTATGCCCAGGCAAAACACCATTGAAAGGTCTGCCAATGCAGACCTGATTGCAGGGCTGGGACCTAGCAGAGCTGGTAGAAGAATACTCACAGCATATTTAAAAATGTTTTCCCATCAGTTGCCAAATAGGTCATTCAGTAAGGTATTATTTTCCCACTAGTCAACCAGCTCGCTAGATAAATACATCAGCAAATACAACTATTCTCTTCTCTGGCTTATTAGCAAATAATGTATTCAGAAATTATTTCTTTCAGTATCCTACCTGCTCTACTGGGTAGTGTTCACAGTGCAATGCACATAGACAGCGTGATTACCACTTAGTGGCCATCAACAGAACTGCAGCCTTAGAAAAAATGGTTATTTTTTTCCATTCTCTAACTATGATAACCTGTCTGAACATATAGGCCCTGATCCTGCAGTTGGCTCCTCATGTGCAGACCCCCCTACCTACATGAAACCTGATCAGTGGGGCAGATTCTCAGCTGGTAAAAACTGTCGTAGCTCCATTGAAGAGCTGCCCCAATGGATCTCCACACAGGCTCAGTGTTCATGGGGTCAATTTCAGGATCAGAGCCTTAGACAGCAATTAAATGAATAATTTGTCATCTACGAGCTTAACATGCAATACATTAACAACAAATTCCATATATACAAAAACTTTTTTAGGTTATGTGCATGAAGGCATGAATTCAAAAGGACAGTATCAATATTAAGAAATAGTTTGCTATGCTGGGCTAAAAAGTGATCCATAAATGAACACAGAGGCACTCTTGAAATTAACCTGAAGGACAGTAATAAATCTTCATCACCTCCAACCTCCTGAAATTTCAATAGGGATGCAACAAAATATAACTGACCAAATCCTCAGAGGGCTTAAACTCTGATTTAAATCTCTCTCACACAAACACACACACACAGACCCACACACACACGGGGCTATCCTGCAGTGAAATCCATGGAGTTATATCAGAAGACAACTACCTCAATTTTTTCCTAGGGTTTCTCTCCTAGTGCAGGGTAGGGTTGTGAGCTGCAGTTTCCTGGTCCATTTCCAACTAAGGCAATTATTCTTGGAAAAGTGTTGCTGGGGCTGTTAACTGGCCAATGCATTCTGTCTGAGAGGCGACTGCCTTTCAATGATGGGTGAAGCAGTGTCTGTATATGATCCATATAGCACTTCACAATCTTTCTGGATGAAACATCTTTTACTGGTTGTTTAACCTGTGGGACTGAGTGAAGCCATTTTGTAAGCATGAGGTATTATTAATACTCCCCCTTCGTGCGAGCCTAGGGAAAAATCTCACTTGGGTTTATCACAGATTTTAAAAAATTTCTTCATATTATGGCTTTGTATTGAAGTTCAAAGCTTGACTCATAGTAAAAAAATAAGTTTGATTTTTAAAAACAGCTTTTGTAGCCTTTGTCTAGGTGACTTAGCTTTAAAATGTTTAATTACTAATTTCAAAAGGCAAAAGAAGTGGCTATTCCTAAAGCCCACCTTTGCTCAACGCTTTCTTCTACCCAGTACTCCACAATACTTAAATGTCTAAAATATATTTGGGAAGAAAAATGTCATCACTTTGAGTGTTCAGAGATTTAACTTTGATCAGAAAATTTACTGGCAACTGTGTCATTGGTGGTATAATAATCTATGGAGGTATGCTTCTAATTGACAAAGACAAATCCCTCTCACTTAATTCTACAGTGGGATAGGGGAAAATATCTATTTTCTTTGTAAATCCATATTTCCATGCTTTCATAGAGATGGATATAATCTCCTCCAATTGGAGAAAAGGTAATGGGAAAAATTACAAGAAGCAGTGTATTCATGAGTGTCCCTGTATATTAACTGCTCTTGAAAAGTGAATTAAAAGAATCAGACTGTACTTCTTTTTATGTAGTCTATTGTGTTACCTATATTATTACATTATTAGCATAAATCCATATGCAATATGACATGAAGCAACCTAACTTGCTGTTCATATTCACTTTACAACTGCTTTAGTAATTGTAATGAAAAGAAATGCAACAATGGCAAACTGACAAGCAAAAGTTAGATTCCCAGACAGCTAATCCTGCTTTTTAGGTTTGGTTTACTTTGAACCAAATATAAAGCTATTATCATCAGTGTCATCAAGAGGCAACATTCAAGGGAACATTTTTTTTTAATCACAGCAAAAAAGTTGATATTTCATCATCTGGCAAAGTTATTCTTTAAAACAATCTTTTCCCAGCAACTTCACACTCAAACATTACTTTATAAGGCAAAGGAATAGTAGAAGTGAGTCAATTTTCATACCGTGGTAGTCATATGCAAGCCAATGGGAATGTCCAGAAGGAAACAATGTCACTAATTGGCAAGGGGGCAACTGCACTGACCATCTTAAACAAGATTTAGTCTTTGAAAATCTACAGCTTAAAGACCAAATTATGAAACTTCAGTTTAACTGTTATTTCCATTTTAACATATGGATGGAAAAGCTGGAAATCCACCAAGTGTTTATACAGGCATTTCAATGCCTTCAAAAGCAAATCCCTTAGGAAAGTACGAGGTATTAATGAATTTATAACCAATACTGAGCTCCATCAGAGAATTCAATAATCATGAAGCTCTAATGTTACCCAGTAAAGAAGAGAGAAATATCTTGGATAAGTGTTAAGCATGAAGCAAGAGAACGCTGTTGCCTGCTGACTGTGAGGGTGTTGGTTCATGTTTTTGCTGTGACAATGCACAGGTTGATTATACCCCACGTCCTGCAACGAAGATTCACTAACTGGGCAAATCAACTTTGGTGGCTGTCTGGCTACCAGCTAGCAGACAAAACAGTAAAGCCATTGTGACTCTCAACACTTCTTTAAGGCATTTCAAATACTGCACCGTGTCGAGTCTCTTCCCTTATAAACTTTAAAAAGCCGTCTCTGGGAGGTGAACATCTAGGTCACAGCAGTGTGCCTAGAACAGTTTACATTTCAGATTGTTTTCATTAGTTGCAGCTCTGATATGTCTGAGTCTACGCTGAGGAGTAATCTTTGAACAAGACTCACACACAGCTGCAAACATCTCCCAGTCTTCTCAGTCACTAGCTGCAGCCTGTGTGCAGTGGGGAGATCTATGTGAGCCTCATTACTTTCTTCTGGTATTTTTCCACTCTAAAAAGCAATTCACACATGTGATGTTTACCCCTCTGAGGAATGCATCTGCTGTATTTCATTGTACACTTTTTAGAAGTGCAGCCATGTAAATATAAAACTTGGTGAAATAACTACTGAAAATAGGTGATTTATTTTCAAATCGATATCTGCCCTGATTATTCCAGTAGCTTGAGAGTACTGAACCTTGGGGGGGGGGTGCTGAGTCTTACAAGCCTCAATCATCTATTGTCTTTTATGTTACTGCTGTGAAAAGATGGGAAAGAGATGCTGAATCTCTACAGAAATATCTAATAAGGCATTGTAACGTGATCAGTAGTTTAACATTTTTACCAAATTTACTTGATTCATTAAGGCTTTTTTGATGTATTTGGGGAGGGATGATCCCTTGATTCCTCCAGGACTTTGAAGAGATGCCCCCCTTCATCTACCCTCTTGATGCTCACAAGCATCACGATACCACACATTGAATGCAAACACATTGCAAGTGGCCACAGGGCAGAGGGTAATTTAGCACAATTATTAGAAAGTGCTTAGTATGAATGTGACAGGTTTGTATTCTAGTTACATTGCAACATAACACTGAATTCAATTGGGGGAGTTGTTCAACCATGAATAGAGACTGTTCACCTCTAAGGGGTTGCAGGGCTGGGTCCTCAGAGGGTAGCTTTTTCATAGAATCATAGAAGATTAGGGTTGGAAGAGACCTCTGGAGGTCATCTAGTCCAACCCCCTGCTCAAAGCAGGACCAACCCCCAACTAAATCATCCCAGCCAGTGTTGACAGATTTTAGGAAGGTCAGAGAACAGTCAAGATATTTGTCTCCCTACGCGCATCTATCATCAGGGTTTAAGATCGCCCAAAATAAAAACCAATAAGGGAGTGTAGGAGTAAAATGCAGGTATGTTTATTAGACCAACAACAGTCAAACAAGGTAAGTAAACGGGATATGCTCTAAAGGACTGCCAACACAGATAAGTAAGGTAAATAGGTAAAGGTGACACTAACTATACTGACTGTGACCAAAAAGGGTTTACTCCCTCTCCAAGATGGGTCCCAGGTAAGGGGTATGAGGAACTTGAAAGGTCTCTACCATTTCTTGTAGCTTATGTCTGGAGCTTCACGACCTCACGACGCAGATTGGGTCCGGAACCGACCAGGTGACTCAGTGGGGTGAGGAGTGGACCTCAGGCAACAGGTAGGTGGTAACTCTGCTTGATGCTGGTGATTCTTCTTTCTCCTATCCTGCATCGGCGTGGCTGCAAGTAAGATCCAGGTGAGAGGGTGGCAGCTAGAAGCTCACCCTTGCGTGCAAGTGTGTTAAACCCTCCCACAACCCTAAGGTGCGATGTTCTGGCTTATGCACCTGAGTAGAACACACTGCTGTGGTCCAGCACTCTGCCACTCAGATGGGCAGCCCCGTCCTTCTGGCATGCTAGCCCTTATATGCCCTGCTGTTCCTGGTCAGATTGCATGTCACATGGTTATTTGGTTTCCCACCTTTTCGGTGGGAAGGGCGAAAAACTATACCTGAGGAGCGGGAAGAAGGGCATCCAAGATGGATTCCTAGTTGTTGTTGCCAGAAATTCAAGATGGCGTGTGGTTATTAATGCCAAAACAGAAATTTCGCCCCTTCTGTCCCCTCCTTGTCAGCAACCATTCCCTTCAAACATCGGGATCTGATGCCGGCACACCTGGATTTCTTGTCTACCTTTCTGAAATTGTTGTGAGCCCACCTGTATTGTGACAAATGCAATATAAACATAAAAAATTGCAAAGAAAACAAGATCCTAAAAGATGCACCAATATGTGCCAGGATTCAGCAACCTTGGTGGGGGTCAGTGAACAGAGATTTCCACCAATTACTTATAGCCGCTGTCCTCTTCACTCTTTTGAGAAGAACCGCTTCTATTTGTTCTGATGAGTGGTGAACGATAAGCATAGCTGATTACATGGTTCTATGACCTCATTGACATGCCTGGTGAAGTCTGGGTGCTCCATCAGTTGGCTGATAAGTGAGATGTTTAGTCCCAGACTCACCAGTTCGACATGGTCATAAAGATAGTACGTAGTTTGAATGGCTCTAGATGTCATCCTTTCTGATTGAAACATCACACACCTCTATGGTTAAGACAAAACATAAGCACAAGTTTGGGTGGATGTCATTATCTAGTCATTATTGACAGGCTGGCTATGGTCAGGGGTTCCTATGGTCAGGGGTTCCTGTTTGATTAAGAAATGGCAATGTGGGTGGGGAGCCTTCTGAGGATATGGAACGGATTCTCCTCTGGTGTGACTCCATTGCCTTCATGAAGTTAATCCTGATTTACTCTAGCATAAGCAAAAGCGAATCTGCTCTTATAAATTCCCCACTTTGGCCTCTTGGAGCTCAGTACTAGAGCTGTCCCTGTGCAAGATGGAATAAAACTGTTCTCTCTTTGATTTTAAATGCTGTTTCTGACCAGCTTTGTTTCAGGGCCCTGCCACAGGTCCTCAACTCACGGAGCACAGCCCCAAGCCAGGACAGCCTGCAGTCTTGTGATTGCAATTCAGGAAACAAAATGTACATACAAAATCAAAAGCATCCTTCATTCCAGTAAGGCTCATGTTAATTTCAGTTCTTAATCAAGCAAGCTTACTGATCTGTGGAGAGAGAGACTGTCAAACAGATGTATCCCAGGATACCTCTTGTTTGTCTACAAAGCTTGATTCATAATTTTTCATAACAAAATGAAACACAGGTTGATGTTTCATTTCAACAAGTCTTAGTGTTCAACCTCTGACTGAGTAAATTCATTACAGGAACAGGGCCTAGGATTTGGGGGAGGAAGTGACATTCTTATTCAAGTCCATGTTTTATCCAGTCAAGTTTTAATTTGTTCACATCTGTCTTTATGGAAAATTGAAAGGGGCTATAATTACAGCCTGTTGGAAGCAAGTAGGTAAGAACCATACTTTCCGTTACTGAGGGGCCACTGGGATTAGAGAGAGGGATTTACATCTGGGCAGAGATTCTTTTTGCCTCTCTCTCTCTGCCATCTATTAAAACCTCATCACCAACCAATACACACTAAAAGGCATCTAGCAAAATCAGCTGAAGCCTCTCATGTGCCTCAAGGCTTCTGTCAAGAGAAGATCAACAGATGAGTAGGAGAGGGCTATCTTCTCTTTCAAAGAGCTGCCTTGACTGAGTGTTACACTAATATTTTAACTGGGCCGTACTGGGAAGGAAAGTTTCCCCAGTGGCTACAGAGAAGCACTTGAGTCTCTTGAGGTTCTAGGAAAGTGAGGGGGGTGGGGGAGGGGAAGTTGTTTGACTTGGTTGTAACATAACATAACATGCCAGCTGTGCACACTGCACTCCAGCATGCAGACAGGTTACTGCGAAAGGCTGGGCTTTGCTTCTTGTATTTTGGGCTGTGATGTCATCATGGTTAGTGCTCTAGTTGGGTGTTGTTCCAGTGGGGACCACAGCAGGATTCACTACTGACTTAAAGTGGATGCTCTCTTCAGGCTGCGAGGTCTTTGGGTTCAGAGACAGATGATTGCACAGGCTTTCCTGCCACCATCACTTCCTTTTCTACAGCTTAAACTACTTACTGAAACAAAATACCACAGGGATGAGCACCTTATAAATGAGAAAGCTCTATTAGCAGTGCAACAAGGAATCATTTGTCTGATAGAAATAACCTGACCTTTCTGTAGTAGCTAGTTGTTTTTCAAAGCTTCATTCATACTAATTTAATTCTTGCCACAAGTTTGCCATAGGAAATATTATGATGGCTGTAAAGCGTTCGTTTTCCCCCAGTGACAAGAAACAATGACTAACCTGTTCCCTAACTGTTGTTCTTCGAGGTGTTGCCCATGTCCATTCCACTTCAAGTGTGCATGTGCCCAATTGGAGATTTTTCCCTCACTGGTATCCATCAAGGTGGCATACGTGCCCTCTGCTACCTCACACTGCTGCACTATAGGCTGAAGGACAAAGCCAACCCTGGCCCACCCCCCAGTGCCTTCTTACCAAACAGACTTCTACACCCAGGAGAAGGAGGGTGGGTTGTGGAATGGACACGTGCAACACATCTCAAATAGGTCAGTAACCATTCCTTCTTCTTCGAGTACAGCACATGTCCATTCCACTTTAGGTAACTCGGGAGCAGTTTGGTCTCGAGGTGGGATCAGAGTCTACCTGAACAAGCAGAATGCTAATGCTTTCCTGACTTCCAAAGTGTGGAGTCTCTTTTAATCTTCATGAGCATGAGACTTTGGTAGAAAGAAGGTAGATATGCTGCCTGCTTGACGTGGAAGTGAGACCACTTTTGTGAGACATGTCAGAGGGACAAGTGAATTTTGTCATTGAAGAAGGCTGTATATAGAAGTCCATACAATTGAGCACGTAGTTCACCTGCTTTCCTGGCTGAGGTGATTCCAACAGTAAAGTCTACCTTCAATGAAAGATTTAGCAAGGAACAGGTAGATAAATAGAACAATTATAAATCGGAGGATGGGGGGGGGAGGAAGCCAAGATAGCTGCCAGATGGACCTTGATGGAACTAATGGTTAGACATTGTTTTAGGAATAAGAGATAGTCCAGAATACAGCGCATTAGAGCCGGGTCCAGGGAAACCCTTGGCCCAGATGGAAACCCTCCTTCTACTTTGCCAGGTCAGTATACCTAGTAGATGTCTTTCTACTACTTAAAAGTAGATCATGAACTCTCTTTGAACAAACCACTTCCTGGGAGGTTAGCCACGGCGCATCCAGCTGTCAGGTGGAGGCCCTGCAGGTTGGGATGGAGGAAGTGATCGTGATCCTGAGAGATTGGGGCTCAGTCTGGTGGTAGAGTCAGTGCCTGATTTTCACCAACAATCTGGGAAGGAGTGGAACTGAAGGAAATCTATATAGAAACTTGTCTCTGTAGGGCAAAAGGAAAGCATCTGGCTGTGACCTAATCAAGAACAAAACTGATGACACTTTCTGTTGACTTTCATTGCAAAGAGGTCTATATGGGGAGGCCCTCAGAACTGGAAAATGCATCGGGCCATGTCTGGAAGGAGAAACCACTCATGATGACTGGTGAAAGATCTGATAAATTGTTCTGTACACCCATAAAGTGAGAGGTTTTGAGGTTAATTGAACTGGTGATGCAAAAGTCCCATAGCCCAAAAGCCTCTCTGCATAGCAGAGTCAACTGGCCTCCTCCTTGCCTGTTCACATAGAACATGGCTGCTGTATTCTCTGTAAATACAAGCATATTTCTTCTCTTGACAAGCCAGTTGACTAGCCCTCAACTCCCTTACATTTATACATATTTAAATACTGTGTAGACCAGGGATTGGCAACCTTTCAGAAGTGGTGTGCTGAGTCTTCATTTATTCACTTTAATTTAAGGTTTCACGTGCCAGTAATACATTTTAACATTTTTAGAAGGTCTCTCTCCATAAGTCTATATATTATATAATTAAACTATTGTCGTATGTAAAGTAAACAAGGTTTCCAAAATGTTTAAGAAGCTTAATTGAAAATTAAATTAAAATGCTGATCTTATGCCACTGGCCTGCTCAGCCCGCTGTCAGCCTGGGGTTCTGTTCACCTAGGCTGGCAGCAGGCTGAGCGGGGCCAGCATCCGGGACCCCAGACCAGCAGTGGGCTGAGTGGTTCAGCTCGCTGCCATTCAGCCCACTACTGATCTGGGATTCTGTCCGCCGGCTCCTTCCAGCCAGGGTCCCGGCTGCCAGCCCCGCTGAGCCTGCTGCCAGTCTGGGATCCCGGCCCTGCGCACACAGAGTGGGTACCTACCTTCTCCCTGGTTCTAGCCCATTCTCTTCCTCTCTCTCTGCACTGAGCTAAGGGTGGGAGTGCACTGAACACAGGGATGGGGGTGAAGGAGCAGGCTGGGGGTTGGGGTGCAGGGTCTGGCCAGTAGCTAGAATGAGGGAGGGGGTCAGGGTTGGGGCAAGAGGTTTGGGTGTGGAGTGCTTACCTGGACAGCTCCCATTTGGTGCGAGGAGTGCAGGTGGGAATGTGGGACGGTGCAGGAGCTCCTGTTTGGTGCTCAGGGTGGGGGTGGGAATGTGGGGGGTGCAAGAGTCAGGACATGAGGTGTAGGGGGGCTGGCTATGTGTGGGGGGTGCAGGAGTCAGGGCTGGGTATGTGTGGGGAGGGTTCAGGGCAGGAGGCTGCGGTGTGGGGGGGTGCATGGGTCAGGGCAGAGGGCTGGGTGTGTGTGAGGGGGTGCAGAAGTCAGGGCATGGGGTGTGGAGGGGCTGAGTATATGCGGGGGGTGCTGAAGTCAGGACTGGGGTCGTGGGGAGGTGCAGGGATCAGTGCAGGAGGCTGGGGTGTGCAGGGGTTCAGGGGTCCAGGCAGAGGGCTGGGAGTGTATGTGGGGGGGTGCAGGGCAGAGGGCTGGGGGTGTGGGCTAGGCTCGTAGGGGTGCTCCCAGCCCCCTGCCCAGAGCAGCTCACGGCAGGGGGCTGGAGGGGAAATGCCGATTCCACCCCCTTCCCCAAGGCCCCGTCTCCGCCTCCTTCCTGGAGCAGTGAGTGCGCTGCGGCTCCGCTTCTCCCTCTCCCTCTCCCTCGCAAGGGCCTGATCGGCAGCAGGGAGGGAGAGGAGTAGGGGCAGGAACCCAGCATGGCGGGGGAGCTGGGAGCTTGCCTGCCCTGCAGCAGTAGCCGGCAGGACCAAGCTTCTTCACTTTGCCCCCGCAGGGTGGGGGGAGGCGGAGAAGAGT